GAGTAGTGTGTGTGTGTGTGTGTGTGTGTGTGTGTGTGTGTGTGTGTGTGTGTGTGTGTATATATATATTCTCTTTGAGGATAGATACGCATAGCGATACGCCCCCGTACAGAACGGAAAAATATCCTTCGTGTTTCCTCTTTCGCTTTTCTTTCCACAGTGCCTTTGCTTTTTCTTTCCTATAAAAAGTTAACCCGTCCCATACTTCATATGATGGCAGATTTCGCCGTGTGTGTACCGAGTTGGGGAATAAATGATTATCCGCGAATCGAAAACCGCGGAGGATTAATCGGAAAATAATTTCATTCCTTGACTACTGTGCGCGGCTGTGCGCGAGCGGCCAGTCTTCTATTTCGCATTTCACTTTGATCAACGTGCGCGATAGTACCTTGCGAAAATTGCGTTACCTGCTGTTTTATTCTAATAAAAGCATGTAGCCTGGCGCGAGCGTAGCGCGTATCTCCGACGACCGCGTACGATGGCATACCGATATATCGGTAATCAGCCGAGAAATTACTGTCTCCCTCTCTCTCTCTTCTTTTTTTTAATCGACTGCTTGCTTAGTTTTTACTACAAGCCTCGTGCGAGCATCTCATTAATGTGCGCAGAATAATTTTCGCCCGGCCGATACCAAACGCGGAATTACAAATATCGGCCCGCAGAGGGGAACTTAAAATTATCTCGTCATCGTGATAAAACGATGCGACGCCGCGGACGTTACGTCGCAAAATTATTCTAACGAGTTCGTCAATATTAATGGGTTCCGTGGTGTAATGTATCCTTTGTGCCTTGTGAAATGCGCGTTTACAATAACTTTTGCTGCACAGAGTGGTATTAAAAGCACAAAATGCATTTTCTCATCGCGAAGAAAATACGCGTCAACAGACCATATTAATCATGCGTGTCTCGACCCGGCAAAGAGCGTCGTTATGCGATTCGTCGCGAGATAAATTGCGGACAAATTCGGAAAATCGGAGATAGAACATCGAGTCACGGTCTGGAAATTCCAATCTGAAAGACCGTTGAGCGAAAACATTAGAACTACTATTCTTGATTACAAAAACAAACTCCGTTGAACTTGAAAACGATAACTTAACTATTTTGTACAGCGAGCGAAACATATGCCAAAAAAAAATCAGACTCAATTGCAATACCAGAATCCTAACATTTTTTAAATCAAAACTTTAACTAAATCCTATAATTAAAGTTAAGAAACTTTAAAAAATTGCTGAACTTTTTACTGTTACGAAATCTATTATCTTTCAGCTTTATTTGTAAGAGTAACACTCACCTCCGAGTTATGACTCCAAGTCATCGTCGGGGGTGGTTCGGGGGCATATTTTACGACACATGTCAGATTGATGGTGCTGCCCTTATTGACGAAGAGATCCGGCGCTCCGATTATAACAGTTATCGGTTCTAAAACAAAAAACAGTTGATTTGAGAGGTTTGACTACTTGATGATTATAGATTGAGAGAGTAGATTGAGAGATTAAATGATCCGATATAAATATAAATCTCATCGTATATTTAATATCCTTCTCGTTCCGCCTATCGTAAAGCGGGCTTTTGGGTCAAGTCGATAAGATTCTCTCTATGCCTGCATAGATCTGCTTAAAGTATCATGGCAGTCATTAACGAGATATCTTCAAGAATGTACGGCTTTACACACTTTCTCTACTTAAATATAAATGTGTGAGATATGCTCCTTTTATGCTAACCCAGTAGACATTATAAAAAGCATCGCAAAGCATATATATTTAACATAAAATGAATGTTTAAATATTAATTTCAGAGATTAATAAGAAAGTTTTGAGATCTGAGAAATCAGATTTTCCAATATTACTGCTCAATTGAATTTTTACATAAAAAAAAAATTGAAAATTTTTAGTCCAAGATTTTGATTCCATATATTTAGTCCTTTAAGAAAATATAAGAAAAAAACTAAAAATTTCAATTATATTTTCTAAATCTGCGAAACTAATTGTGTAATTTATCTTTGTATGCAGCAGTTAATTAAACGATGTTTATACGGAAGATAACTGTATAGAAGATATAGTTCTACACTTTCTTCAACTAGCAGAAAACTTTTGGAGTTAGTATATTGCATCCAACGGAACGTTTGAGTGAAACTCATGATGTTACTAGGAAATTTATATCGCTCCAAATAAATACGTCTCTCAATGAAGTGAAGTACGACTTTAAAGTTTTGTCATCGAAGTAAAAACTTGAAGGAAATTAGAAATTCGAGTTTTGTAAAGATCATTAATGAATATATAATAATATTGACACGATATTCATCGAATATACAGTAATTATTTCTTAGATTTCATCGTTTTTTTTTCTGTTTTCAAGAAAGTAAAAATTAATGCCATATAGAATTTCTATTTGCTCACCGACTATTGTTAGGTACACAGGGTGGCCGATGGGCGGGGTCGTTGATATTTGGCACTCATAAATCCCGGAATCCTTACGCTGAGGATATCGTATCCTCAAGGTCCAGTCCTCGGTATGAGGGGAGTGTAGTGCCTCGAAACGTTGATCGCTGGTGTAGGTATAACGACCAACCGTTAATAAGTGTATATCTCGGTGCCTCACCCAGGAAACCTAAAAAAGATTATTATTATTATAAGTATATTCTTTTCATTATACTGCTTTGTTTTATTTGTATGATTAATATGTTATCGCATAAATTAATAATTAATTCTCCCAACAAGTATTATTAATGCTAAAAAAAACCATATAAAATTGATTGCTTTCGTAAACTATTAAATTGATAAATTTAAAATGCATATTATGAAAGTGTAATATGAAAGTAGGGAAGTAAAATTCATTATTCATGTAAAAAACATCTGAGATGCACGGGTTTCGCGTTATCGCGGACATCAAAGCACGTGATATGTGTATATATAGGCCACGGCCATGTGAGGAAATAATATTATATATCCACATGTATAAGCGGACTGTCAATATCAGGTGCATTGCTGCTCTACGGTATATTTATCTGCCCTACGGCATTGCCTGCGGTTTGCATAATACATTATTTGATAAATAAATCGAGAGCTTATTTGTTTGTTTAATATCGATGCTCAACTGTCGTTTAATTTTTACTATTTAAACCATTGTTAATCGTTGTAGTCGGGAACAAGTGGATGTTAAATTCGAATGAACTTGCTTCGTTGCAGAGATTGCAAGTTAAATGCATGAATAAGTTTCATTCGGTAATATAAACTAATTCTACCATGTCGGCATGCAGAAAACAGTGAGCAAATCTAATAGATCATTGATGCAATTTCATCGACTGCATTTTCCCAAGTTACATTTACATTCGGTTGACCCTAATTAACTCTGGAAATTGGAGAAAACCGTGCGACATCCGATATTCACAAAATTATTTGTTTTATTCGTTATTGATATTCCAATGATTTGGGAAGTCAAAAAGTTTCCATTGATTAAAAATAATTGATTCAACGATAGGTCCAATTAGGCAACTTTATTATATCAAAGATATGCACGAATAATTCTGGTCGTTATGTAATAAAGTAGCCATTACATAAACAAGTATTTTTTATACCGTTCATTAATTTTTAATTTAACATTTCTTGTGCTAAGGCCTAATAATATTACGGCGAAACATATAATTGATAATGTACCAACGGATTAATGAATTGCCGATTTAAATTTCAACTTGTCGCTCGACCGTAGCTCATAAAACATATACCTAATAAAGGCTAGCAAAATAATTAACTTTTGTCTTTTAATTTCGGATGTGAAATTACCTTCATTATCGCGCCGGTAAAATTGATCACATTAAATGTGACGAAAGCCATCGAAATCTCATCTTGTTTCACATATTTTATCTCTTATCGCTGATCGAGGGAATAACGCTTTCATGAAATATATTTATTGACCATATCGAATTTTATTTGCGAGAAAATTTTTCACGTCATCGCTCGAAAGATGAGAACCTTTAGAGTCCATCCGAATATGATTCATAGAAAATTTCATCGAGTTAGAAAAGCGATGTGTTTTTGATGTATTACAGAGTGATATAC